ATGGTGAATAAACTAATTAACGATCGATCGGAAGTAATTAGTTGCGTATTCTATGCCTGCCATGATTAAACGGCGCTTAGACCACTGTTGGCTCCTCTCTTTTGATACAAATTAATTTTGGATATTTGCTTTAACTCTCAATTGATTAGTAAATATCGGCAGAGTAATTTTAGCTTAAATCAGTTTGACGGAAATAATTAAATCTTCTATAAAGTAACAATAAAAATAATAGCGAAGAGCATGATTTATATCGACGTGGACAAATGGCAAAATGATTGTCTATTTAGGTAACAACTGTGTGGTTTTCTCAACTCGAGCGGTGGCGTTTAAGTTTAATGTATCCATGGAATGGAGGCGACGGTTACGGTACAATGATTTATTCGAATGGGTGTGCATGTCAGAAGAAGAATAATAGACTCTGTGTAAAAGAATGCATTTATTCCAATGTTCCCCCAGAAATTCTACTCCGGGCGATACGCGGTGATTATTGATGCTAATGCGTTGAAAAACTGTTCAGTCTAGCCTTACTCCGGACGAATGTTAACGTTAAAATAGTTCTGAACGAACATGAAGGTTCTAAATGATTCAGAGTTCATACTTTTATAAACGATACTTTGTAACGTGTACGTTTCAAATAAGGAAATTGTAATTCTATTCTATCGAAGACATTGAATGCACTCAGTACATAAAATGTTTAGAAAATAATAGAAATTTATATATAATATTTACAGGAAGGGATTAAAATTTTATTCCATCGAGTATATTAAATTTTTAAAAAATAATAAAAATTTATATATAATATTTGAAGGAAGGGATAAAAATATTCCATGTATCGCAGCTGTGTAAATCAACCTTGGCAACGACTGTTTCACATACGTAAGCTAATTGTATGCGACACGTCATGGCGTTATAATTTGGCTCGCATTACATATTTCCTTAACAATATTCGTATTATGTATGGAACATTAACAGGTTCGATAAAAAGAGATACATTTTTCTTTAAGTAATATGCATATCTCCAAAGTTCAATTTTTAAAGAACTGGGTGGGAGGCATAGCCTTTGCTATGTATACTAAGTCATGGATGGTTTGACCTAAGCAATGGAAATAAGTGTAATAGCAATGAAATTGATCTAAGCTATTCATTTTCATATTCGATTTATATACGCATACGTATGCTACATTTTATTTTCAAATTATTGGCTTATAAACGCATGTAATCACCCGCGTCCCATCAATAAGGTATTTGAATATCGGTGGCTAAGTATCGATCACCGCGACAAACATTGCAATAAACGTTGTTTAAATTCCACCGGGGGGTGCGAACGTATTACAAATATCCATAGAACGTAAACACGAATTTGTGGAACGTGCAAACAATAATACCGAGAGGAATAACAATTGTACAAGCATGAATGTAAAATGCAGCCTATAATGATTCCCCGGCAGTTCTCCAGTAATTTCCGGTAAATTGTCGAAAAATCATATAACAAATATGCTACCGGTTACACGTAACGCAGTAACAATACGATACGGTTCATAAATTACTTTGAATACTTCGACGAATGCGTGTTTCGACATTCGTGGATATTCTGCGAAGCTCATCCCGTGTACGCAGGTGAAAAGCTGGAAATAATTTCTTCTCGAAATCCTGATTTGTGGTATACGAAAAACAAGGTTTACGTTTTAATCAGAGTCGAATAAAAAACCGAAAAATCAGCTTCATTGATCCAATATTAAAAGATCAATTCTACTTATGAATGTGAACAAATATTATTAATGGGCCACTGTACACAATGAAATAAAGCTGTAAACAAAAAAGCAAGAATGCAAATAGTATAGGAAATATTTCACAGCAAAAGATACAAAGAAATATGGTTTGTTGCCAGTTGGGAGTTCATTATACGACCGGCTATTTCCTCGTTCCATTTGCCATCGAAATTAGCGTACACGCGAAAATATAATCATCATCCGAGCCCTTTGACAAGCCGTCTGAACTGACGAGTAGCAGCAGTAATAGTATTATTATTGTGTCACAGAAAGAAATTGTCGAGCGGCGGTGTGACGCGACGGTGCATTGAAAGTTCTCGGATCGTTTATGAGGCAGAACGTCTCGCAGGATAGTTGGAACGAAGCATCCCGGAGTCTCGTAGATATTCTCGCCGGTATGAAATTTACTTGGAGCGTGGACTTTGCTAATTAGTACCGGGCGTCGTTTTTGCGAGACCCCGGAACACTCGCGAAGCTCGTTTAATTGGCGGCGTTTCATTCCGAAGATAATTGTTCAGATGAATTTCTGTCGAACTGGAGTTTACTCCGGTAGGTAGGTAGGTAGTTTCGATTCCCGTTGCAGAGTTTCCTGTCAGTCAAGATTCTGTCGCGACCTACCAACGGCTTCCTCCATTACTCCAGCAAATATGCCTCGCGTTATTGTGCCGCCGCTGATGAAAAACTAGGAAAAAATGAGAAATTGTTGCGGCGCACTGCTCGCAGCTCTCGGGGAAATTGTTATTGCGTCCTTTTGTTGGATTGTTCCCTAGCAATTGTCTTTAAATGAATACGTAGCAACGGTTTTGCCGAATTAATTTGAGGGGAATCAACTCGATTTGTTTCCTTCCTCTAATTTTAATAAATATTCAATGGTACCGTTTGGGACTCGAATCAACGATTAATTATTCACTAACTGACCTACCCGCATTCCCAAAAAGGACTTAGGATGAAGTCCATACAAATTCTAATTTATGCTCTTTTGTTTTACGGCTTTGTCGTTCATTTGTTATTTGATTATTGTGACAGATTTAT